TTAAAAATACTCTAGATGGGATCAATAGCAGAATAACTGAGGCAGAAGAACGGATAGGTGACCTGGAAGATAAAATAGTGGAAATAACTACTGCAGAGCAGAATAAAGAAAAAAGAATGAAAAGAACTTAGGACAGTCTCAGAGACCTCTGGGACAACATTAAATGCACCAACATTCGAATTATAGGGGTTCCAGAAGAAAAAGACAAAAAGAAAGGGACTGAGAAAATATTTGAAGAGATTATAGCTGAAAATTTCCCTAATACAGGAAAGGAAATAGTTAATCAAGTCCAGGAAGCACAGAGAGTCCCATAGAGGATAAATACAAGGAGAAATATGCCAAGACAAATATTAATCAAACTGTCAAAAATTAAATACAAAGAAAACATATTAAAATCAGCAAGGGAAAAACAACAAATAACACACAAGGGAATCCCCATAAGGTTAACAGCTGACCTTTCAGCAGAAACTCTGAAAGACAGAAGGGACTGGCAGGACATATTTAAATTGATGAAGGAGAAAAACCTGCAACCAAGATTACTCTACCCAGCAAGGATCTCATTCAGATTTGATGGAGGAATTAAAATCTTTACAGACAAGCAAAAGCTGAGAGAGTTCAGCACCATCAAACCAGCTTTACAACGATGGCAAAAGGAACTTCTCTAGGCAAGAAATGCAAGAGAAGGAAAAGACCTACAATAACAAAACCAAAACAATTAAGAAAATGGGAATAGGAACATATATATTGATAATTACCTTAAATGTAAATGGACTAAATGCTCACACCAAAAGACACAGATTGGATAAATTGATACAAAAACAAGACCCATATATTTGCTGTCTACAAGAGATCTACTACAGACCTAGAGACACATACAGACTGAAAGTAAGGGGATGGAAAAAGATATTTCATGCAAATGGTAAACAAAAGAAAGCTGGAGTAGCAATTCTCATATCAGACAAAATAGACTTTAAAATAAAGACTATTAGAAGAGACAAAGAAAGACACTACATAATGATCAAGGGATCGATCCAAGAAGAAGATATAACAATTGTAAATATTTATGCACCCAACATAGAAGCACCTCAATATATAAGGCAAATACTAACAGACATAAAAGGGGAAATCGACAGTAACACATTCATAGTAGGGAACTTTAACACACCACTTTCAGCAATGGACAGATCATCCAAAATGAAAATAAATAAGGAAACACAAGCTTTAAATGATACATTAAACAAGATGGACTTAATTGATATTTATAGGACATTCCATCCAAAAAAACCCAGAATACACATTCTTCTCAAGTGCTCATGGAACATTCTCCAGGATAGATCATATCTTGGGTCACAAATCAAGCCTTGGTAAATTTAAGAAAATTGAAATTGTATCAAGTATCTTTTCCGACCACAACACTATGAGACTAGATATCAATTACAGGAAAAGATTTGAAAAAATACACACATGGAGGATAAACAATACACTACTTAATAATGAAGTGATCACTGAAGAAATCAAAGAGGAAATTAAAAAATACCTAGAAACAAATGACAATGGAGACACAACGACCCAAAATCTATGGGATGCAGCAAAAGCAGTTCTAAGAGGGAGGTTTATAGCAATACAATCCTACCCTAAGAAACAGGAAACATCTCGAATAAACAACCTAACCTTGCACCTAAAGCAATTAAAGAAAGAAGAACAAAAAAACCCCAAAGTTAGCAGAAGGAAAGAAATCATAAAAATCAGATGAGAAATAAATGAAAAAGAAATGAAGGAAACGATAGCAAAGATCAATAAAACTAAAAGCTGGTTCTTTGAGAAGATAAACAAAATTGATAAACCATTAGCCAGACTCATCAAAAAAAAAAAAAGGGAGAAGACTCAAATCAATAGAATTAGAAGTGAAAAAGGACAAGTAACAGCTGACACTGCGGAAATACAAAACATCATGAGAGATTACTGCAAGCAACTCTATGCCAATAAAATGGAAAACCTGGAAGAAATGGACAAATTCTTAGAAATGCACAAACTGCCAAGACTGAATCAGGAAGAAATAGAAAATATGACCAGACCAATCACAAGCACTGAAATTGAAACTGTGATTAAAAATATTTCAACAAACAAAAGCCCAGGACCAGATGGCTTCACAGGTGAATTCTATCAAACATTTAGAGAAGAGCTAACACCTATCCTTCTCAAACTCTTCCAAAATATAGCAGAGGGAGGAACACTCCCAAACTCATTTTACAAGGCCACCGTCACACTGATACCAAAACCAGACAAGGATGTCACAAAGAAAGAAAACTACAGGCCAATATCACTGATGAACATAGATGCAAAAATCCTCAACAAAATACTAGCAAACAGAATACAACAGCACATTAAATGGATCATACACCATGATCAAGTGGGGTTTATTCCAGGAATGCAAGGATTTTTAAATATATGCAAATCAATCAACGTGATACACCATATTAACAAATTGAAGTAGAAAAACCATATGATCATCTCAATAGATGCAGAGAAAGCTTTCAACAAAATTCAAAACCCATTTATGACAAAAACCCTCCAGAAAGTAGGCATAGAGGGAACTTTCCTCAATATAATAAAGGCCATATATGACAAACCCACAGCCAACATCATCCTTAATGGTGAAAAACTGAAAGCATTTCCACTAAGATCAGGAACAAGACAAGGTTGCCCACTCTCACCACTCTTATTCAACATAGTTTTGGAAGTTTTAGCCATAGCCATCAGAGAAGAAAAGTAAATAAAATGAATCCAAATCGGAAAAGAAGAAGTAAAGCTGTCACTGTTTGCAGATGACATGATACTATGCATAGAGAATCCTAAAGATGCTACCAGAAAACTACTAGAGCTAATCAATGAATTTGGTAAAGTAGCAGGATAAAAAATTAATGCACAGAAATCTCTGGCATTCCTATACACTAATGATGAAAAGTCTGAAAGTGAAATTAAGAAAACACTCCCATTTACCATTGCAACAAAAAGAATAAAATATCTAGGAATAAACCTACCTAAGGAGACAAAAGACCTGTATGCAGAAAATTATAAGACACTGATGAAAGAAATTAAAGATGATACAAATAGATGGAGAAATATACCATGTTCTTGGATTGGAAGAATCAACATTGTGAAAATGACTCTACTACCCAAAGCAATCTACAGATTCAATGCAATCTGTATCAAACTACTACTGGCATTTTTCACAGAACTAGAACAAAAAATTTCGCAATTTGTATGGAAACACAAAAGACCCCGAAGAGCCAAAGCAATCTTGAGAATGAGAAACGGAGCTGGAGGAATCAGGCTCCCTGACTTCAGACTATACTACAAAGCTACAGTAATCAAGACAGTATGGTACTGGTACAGAAACAGAATGATAGATCAATGGAACAGGATAGAAAGCCCAGAGATAAATCCATGCACATATGATCACCTTATCTTTGATAATGGAGGCAGGAATGTACAGTGGAGAAAGGACAGCCTCTTCAGTAAGTGATACTGGGAAAACTGGACAGGTACTTGTAAAAGTATGAGATTAGATCACTCCCTAACACCATACACAAAAATAAGCTCAAAATGGATTTAAGACCTAAATGTAAGGCCATAAACTCTCAAACTCATAGAGGAAAACATAGGCAGAACACTCTATGAAATAAATCACAGCAAGATCCTTTTTGACCCACCTCCTAGAGAAATGGAAATAAAAACAAAAATAAACAAATGGGACCTAATGAAACTTCAAAGCTTTTGCACAGCAAAGGAAACCATAAACAAGACCAAAAGCCAGCCCTCAGAATGGGAGAAAATATTTGCAAATGAAGCAACTGACAAAGGATTAATCTCCAAAATTTATAAGCAGCTCATGCAGCTCAATAACAAAAAAAACAAACAACCCAATCCAAAAATGGGCAGAAGACCTAAATAGACATTTCTCCAAAGAAGATATAGACTGCCAACAAACACATGAAAGAATGCTCAACATCATTAATCATTAGATAAATGCAAATCAAAACTACAATGTGACATCATCTCACACCAGTCAGAATGGCCATCATCAAAAAATCTAAAAACAATAAATGCTGGAGAGGGTGTGGAGAAAAGGGAAGCCTCTTGCACTGTTGGTGGGAATGTAAATTGATACAGCCACTGTGGAGAACAGTATGGAGGTTCCTTAAAAATCTACAAATAGGACCACCATATGACCCAGCAATCCCACTACTGGGCATATACCCTGAGAAAACCATAATTCAAAAAGAGTCATGTACCAAAATGTTCATTGCAGCTCTATTTACAATAGCCCGGAGATAGAAACAACCTAAGTGTCCATCATTGGAGGAATGGATAAAGAAGATGTGGCACATATATACAATGGAATATTACTCAGCCATAAAAGGAAACGAAATTGAGCTATTCATAATGAGGTGGATAGACCTAGAGTCTGTCATACAGAGTGAAGTAAGTCAGAAAGAGAAAGACAAATACCATATGCTAACACATATATATGGAATTTAAGGAAAAAAATGTCATGAAGAACCTGGGGGTAAGACAGGAATAAAGACACAGGCCTACTAGAGCATGGACTGGAGGATATGGGGAGGGGAAGGGTAAGCTGTGACAAAGCGAGAGAGAGGCATGGACATATATACACTACCAAATGTAAGGTAGATAGCTAGTGGGAAGCAGCTGCATAGCACAGGGAGATCAGCTCAGTGCTTTGTGACTGCCTGGAGGGGTGAGATGGGGAGGGTGGAAGGGAGGGAGATGCAAGAGGGAAGAGATATGGGAACATATGTATATGTATAACGGATTCACTTTGTTATAAAGCAGAAACTAACACAACATTGTAAAGCAATTATACACCAATAAAGATGTAAAAAAAAAACAAACAAACCTAACACAGTGGTTTTAGTTGTCTGTTGCTGCCTAACAAACCTCAGTGGCTTTAAAATGGCATATCTTTATTATCTTACAATTTCTGGTGGTCAGGAATCCAGGTGTGTCTTCCGTGAGTGGTTCTGGTTCAGGGTCGCAGAAGCTGCAATCTGGGTGTTGGAGAACCTGCAGTTCTCTCAAAACTGGTGTGAAACGGGAGTCTCTTCTTCCAAGCTCACTCCCATAGTTCTGGGCAGGATTCTGGTCTTTGCACATGTTGGATTGAAGGCCTCTGTTCTTTGCTGGCTGGAGCTATCAGTTCTTGGCTAAGGGGCCTCTCGTGAGGCAGATCACATCAGGGCAGCTGGCTTCCTGCACAGTGAGTTAGCAAAATGCAAGAGAGGGTGAATGCAGGGACAGGAGGCAAGATCTTTTGTTCCCTAAACATGGAAGTGACATCCCATCGCTTTGTAGAAGCAAGTCACTAAGTCCAGCCCTCACTCAAGGAGGGGGTTGACACAGGGCTTTGGATGCCAGCAGGCCCTGGGTTCCCTTTTAGAAACTGCCTATCAACATCAAGATGAAGAATGACGTTAGCCGACATCCTTGGAAACAAATGTTCACAGTGAGTTTTAACAGCTGGCACATGCCTTAGAACTTGGCTTCCCTCTTTTCTGACAAGGAACTGCCCCATGAATATGTCATTTAATGGGTGGAGGGGAGGTAGTGGGTAGAAGCAGATCTAGGTTCCCATCAGCATGTTCCTCCTGAGGGAGCACTGACCTGACCAGGACAAAGTCCTCTCTTCTGAGAGCAGGGAAAAATGCAGGACTTTGTCTCCATCAGAAGCTGTTATCTCTGGTTTCCAAGGGTGGCCCAGGATTGCTTCAGGGGAAAAGATTCAAGGAGTGGGCATGGAGGGGGGTGAGTTGAGAAGAGACCCTTCTCCAGGGTCAGTTCCTGGACAGAGGCAGCCACTTTCTTGTGGTCAGTAACTGGGTAGCATGGCCAGCAGAACCTGGCTTGCCTGTTCCGGCTTTTTAATTAAGAGGTGGCAGCTGTTGAATGCTCCTGCAAGCCAGGCACAGACAGTGCTTTCCCTGTGTCACCTCACTCACCCCTCATAAGACCTCTATGGAGGGGGTGCTCTTTTACCTCGTTTTAAATCTGGGAAAATTGAGGCTACAGGATTGAGCCATCTGCTGGAGGACCTGGGACCAGTAGGTGGCAGAACCCAGATTTCATGGCTTGTCTGGATCCAAAGTCTTCACTTCTCTGTTTAAAAAATTCCAATGCACATCCAAGAGAGGTAACCGCATTAGTTGTTTCTGAAACTGAATGTCACTTAATATGAGTCAGCGGTGAATGTAGGTTAATGTGCAGCCTCCCAGCTTCTCTGAGGGCTGTGAGAGGTGTCAGGCTGGAGTGGCCTTCCTGGAATCCCAGGGGTTTCCACAGAAAGGCATCCTTCTGGGAAGACTCTTATGCCCCATTTTTATCCTTAGTTGGTCCCAACAGTGCTCTAAGGGCTGTGGAAGCACCCCTTCACATGCTCTGGTAGGTACATCCTTCAACACACCACCACACTGCACAAATGTGAAACACACATTGCAAGTGCATTTGTGACCTGGATACAGTGTTACAAGAAAGGGTTGCTGGAGATTTAAGGGACACCTATGGCTTACATTTATGCAATAGAAAGTATTCTTTTGTAGCTATCAATTCCCAGTGGTGAAGCATGGCCAAGCAGGGGCAGACTATTCCTTATCGTAACTGGGACATTGCTCAAATTCTGCCTACAGGATATAATCACAATTGATTTTATTTTCATCTTCTGTGGTACCTATGAAACTTACATGATGGGAATAATCTTTCCCCACCTCTGGATGAAAATCCAGCTGGCCCCCTGACCTCTGTGCTCGCTCTCACCTAATGGAGGGTCCTAGAGTGGGTGGAGTCATGCACACTGTCTCGGGGTCTCATCCACACCTAAGGTGTCCAATCCCAGACTGGAATCAATCTTCACCTCCACCTCCATCTGCCCACCTGGCACTGTGGGCTGATTGCTTGAAGAAGGAACCATATATTCCCCCCTTCCCATCCTTTTATTTTTCTCTTTTCTCCATCCAACTTTGCAGTTTTGGATCCTCCAGGGTGAGCCTGGGGAAGGAAAGAAAGGGAAGAAAACACAGTCTGTTGTGTGCATTTATTTTCTATCTGCGGAGGGAGCCTCTGGGACAGGTATGGTTGGGATTTTCTCTGAGGCACTTTCTGTGGTTCTCCCAGCAATGTTCCACTGCTGGGCTCTGCAGCTGTGGTTTTCAGGGTAGGGTGGTGCCTCTTCTCGGAGGGCAGCTGCTGTCCCTCAGGCCTTGGTTTTGCCAGGTGTCCACTGTACTTGCTAACTCTTGCCTTCAGGGAAGTGGACCCCTGACAGGTGATCCTTCTAGGGAGACTTAGGCATCTCCAGACAAGCTTTCTCTCCCCCAAACATCACATCAATTCCACCAGAAGCACTCAGATCCTTTGACCTTTCTCAGCATGGAAGTGTGGTTACCTGCTCTGGTGGGTAGCCTCCAGGGTGGCCCCAAATGGCCTTGCCTCCTGGAACTCACACCCCTGTGAAAACCCTTCCATTTGAGTGCTGGCTGGACCTAATGATTCACTTCTAACCCATAGATTATAGCCAAAGTGATAGGATGCCACTTCTTAGATTGGGCTATAGAAAGACAGTGACTTCAATCTTTTTTCACTCATATTTCACTGGAGATTCATCTAGGTTGTTACTGTATCAATAATCTCTTCCTGGGACTTCCCTGGTGGCCCAGGGGTTAAGAATCCGCCTGCCAATGCAGGGCACATGGGTTCGAGCCCTGGTCCGGGAAGATCCCACATGCCGCGGAGCAACTAAGCCCGTTCACCACAACTACTGAGCCTGTGCTCTAGAGCCCGCGAGCCACAACTACTGAAGCCCACGCACCTAGAGCCCATGCTCCGCAACAAGAGAAGCCACTGCAATGAGAAGCCTGTGCACCACAACGAAGACCTAACACAGCCAAACATAAATAAAAATAATAATAATAATAATAATCTCTTCCTCTTTGTGGCTGAGTTGTGTTCCATGGTATGGAAGGACCACAGTTTATCTAATCATTCACCCACTGAAGGACATCAGAGTTTTTTCCAGTCTTTGACTATTAGAGGTAAAACTGCATGAACATTCATGTACAAGTATTTCTGTGAACTTAAGTCTTCATTTCTTTGGGATAAATGCCCAGAAGTATAATTTCTGGGTCATAAGGTAGTCACATAATTTTTTTAAGAAACTGTGCTCTGTTCCATTTTATATTCTCACGAGTAATGTATGAGTAATCCAGTTTCTCTGCATCCTTACCTACATTTGGTGCTGTCACCATTTTTTTTTTAATTTTAGTCATTCTGACAGTTGTGTAGTGATATCTTATTGTGATTTTAATGTACATTTCCCCCAAAGCTAATGTTGAACATCTTTTCATATGCTTATTTGCCACCTGTATACCTTCTTTGGTGAAATGTCTCATTTCTTTTGCCCAATTTCTAAGGATTTTTTTAACTGTTCAGTGTTGATAATTCTTTATATATTCTAGTTATTTGCCCTTTGTCAGGTACATGGTTTGCAAATATTTTCTCCCAGACTATAGTTTGTCTTCTTACCCTCTTGCAAAACTTTTGCAGAACAAAAGTTTTAAATTTTGATGAAATCCAAGTTAACAATTTTTCCTTTTCTGCAACATGTTTTGGTGTAAAGTCTAAGAAATTTTTGCCTAGCCTTAGATCCTGAGGGTATTTTTTTCCTTTTTCTTTTTACTAATATTTTTAAAGCTTTATGTTCATAAACCATTTTGAGTTGTTTTATATAAGGAATAAGAATTCAGTGAAGGTTCATGTTTTGTGTTAAGGATGTCCAAAAGCTCCAGAACAATTTATTGAAAAAGCTGTCTTTCCTCCATTGAATTCTTTTTGCACATTTGTCAAAAATCAGTTGTATGTATTTCCCCAGGTCTATTTCTGGGTTCTCTCTCTGTTCCATTGATCTATTTATCCCCCCACCAATACCACACAGTCTGTAACTATAGCTACATAACAGTTCATTCTGCTTGCTTTGGGTTCATTTTATTCTTCTTTTTCTAGGTTCTTGAGATGGGAGCTTAGATTATTACTATGATACTTCTTATCTTTTCTAATGTATACATTTAATGCTATAACTTTTCCTCTCACTGTTGTTTTGGTTGTTGTCCATAAAATTTGATATGTTGTATTTTCATTTTCATTCAATTCAGTACATTTTTATTTTCCTTGAGACTTTTTGTTGACCCATAGACTATTTAAAAGTATGTTTTTAGTCTGTGTTTGGAGATTTACTTCTTATTGTTCTGTTATTTATTTCTAGCTTGACTTCATTTTTGTCAGAGAACATATTCTGCATGATTTAAATTCTTTTAAATTTTCTTAGATTTGTTTTATGGCCCAGGATATTAGCTATCTTGGTATATATCTTGTGGGCACTTGAAAAGAATATGTTTTCTACTGTTGTTGGGTAGAGGAGTCTATAAATATGGATTAGACCTCTTGGTTAATGGTGTTATTGAGTTTTTACTTCTATGTTCTTGCTGATTTGTTTTGTCTAGTTCTATTGATTGTTGAGAGAGGGATGTTTGAATTTGTATCTGTAATTGTGGAATTCGTTCAATTCTGTCAGTTTTTGCTTCACATATTTTTCAACTCTGTTGTTGATTGTATAGAAAGTTAAGACTGCTATATTGATAATTTGATCATTATGTGTTTGGAAATTTCTCTCTCTGTGTTTGGAAATTTCCCTTGCTCTGAAGTCTGCTTTATCTGATATTAATATAGCCACTACTGCTTTCATTAATGTTTGCATGATAAAAATTTTTCTATTCTTTTATTTGCAACATGTTTAGATCAGCTATTTGAAGTGTGGCTGCATATAGTTAAATAATCTCTTTTAATTTACTTTATTAATTTCCATCTTTTGATTGATGTGTTTAAATCATTTATATTTATTGTAATTATTGGTATGTTAGGGCTTAAATCTTCCATTTTATTAGTTTTTCTGTTTGTTCTCTCAGTTGTTCCTTTCTCTGTTTTTTTTTCCTGTTTTTCTGTGGGTTACTCAAACATTTTTTAGGATTTTATTTTGAATTAGCAATTGTGTTTTGAGTGTGTCTCTTAATATAGCTTTTTTAAAAATAATTGCTCTAGATATTACAT